GATTTTACAGTCTCCCAAATGTAATCCAGTCCCAATAAGGCAACATGATGTGATGATGCGGTAAATATATTTTCCTATTGTTTGAAGGCATGACGCGAAACGTCATGCTTCTGTGAGCATCAATATAGAATATAAAAGGAAGTGATTATGATAAAATAATCCTTCACGTTCTCGGAAACTACAACCTACACTTGACTGTACTGCAGAATACGTTTTTCTTATTCATTACTTCTAAGTCTATTGCCATCTATTGGAGAAATGTCGACTTTCAGTCCAAATGCAGATGGTCAAGTTGGGCAAGTCTTTGAACAATTAAAAAGTTATATTGATACACGATTAAGCAATCTCGAGAATTCTTTACAATCGGCGAACCATGATCAACTTGAAACGAACGACATTCAAGCGTCGACTAGGAAATTACAACGAGAGGCAGACGCCTTAAAGTTTAAGTATAAGGCAAACGCCAAACAGTTTCTCTATAATGCTGAAGTCAAAGATTTGGTTGTTTCCACGGTAGAACATCTTGCGAAAGAAAATCCTAATCGCGACCAGGCGTTGGAATACGCTAAAAAAGCTTTGGTATTGATACATAAGCTCCAGAAGTTGATTAAATTGGCCGATAAAAGTAATGCGGGTTGGCTGGTCGTCGAGGAATATGAAAGTGACGTATTGGCTGCTGATTCGGAAGACGACAAGAAAATCAGGAAGGCACAAGATAAAGCTTCCAGGAAGAAAAATCAATTGCTGCAAACTAAGAAGAAGCGACAGCGAACGAACTCTTACGAGTTTCCCTATGGCGCGGTGTGACGTCGCCAGCTTTTTCAAGGTAATTGTGTGCAGGTCGCTTGCTTTCTTTGTAATTTCAAATAGGCTTGTTTGCTAAGACAAGCCTAGCCTATAATAACAAACTAGTTTGGTTATTGTATTGTGTACAGAGGAATGGCGAATTAATAGGAAAATGCTTTTCATTCGGACGAATAGCATGAGGGAGAATGAAATGAAAATTTGTGTGGTATTATACTATAATAGTATTATCATTCACCAAACATCAAATTCTACAGTACTGTATTACAAGTATTGGGGTAATTGACATCGACACATTCGTCTTCTCAGTGTCAAGAGCAGGATAGGGTGGTCTCTTTGGAGTATCTTTGCTTGGAAAAACTAAATTAGAATTTTGTCCTAAAATTACATTTCATGCCTTTTTCCACAAGCAAATTATTTCAGCCATGGTTTAGGTGTCTGGCGATGTTTAAATTTCAGTTCCCAAATTCCTACCGAGTCAACTGACTTGTTTGACTCGTAGCTAGTGATGGGCCTGCAGATGATGGTCAAATTCAGAAATGTCAACAACTGAACAGGGTTTATTTTAACGTGCAGTTCTACACAAAATGTGCAGTTCTAAACACATTTGTGCAGTTCTTAAAACACAAATGTGCAGTCACCAAACTGAAAAAAATAGCCTTAATTAAAACAGTCTTCTCATTTACTCGTTACCCTTGTGGATGCTCCAGAAAATTCCAGAAATGTTGTGATTAATTGAGCATAAAAAATATACTAACGTTTTCTGGGGGAGGACTCCAGACCCTCCTATATTTTCCTCACAAATCACATACGTGCTGGGGTAATGGAAAAGAAAGTAAAATATTGGGGCGAGCGAAGCTCCTCAAAATAGATTAGAGTAGGAAAACATAATATTCTTTGCTGCCTCAAATGCAAATTTAAGGTTGTTATATATTGAATATCCATGATTTCCAGTAACAACATGATTTGAAACAGTTTTTGTGAGTGGTTGGGTAAAACAAATCTTTGCCAGAACTTAAGAGCCTCTAGATTCAAATTGTTTTGGGAAACACCCCCTAGCTCCCGCGACGCACCCAAAATCGAGTTTGTCTGGCCTCTCACCCACCCAACAACACCATTATTCTGTCACCTATATGCAGGTAAAAATTCACTCCCCCGCCAGTCAAACACCCGTTGCCTTCGTAACATCCCTATATGTGCAGTTCTAAATTGTTCTTAAAATAAACCCTGCAACTGAATATCATTTTCTGACTTTGATATACTAATTGCTGGTTGACCACTTACTAGTTACAGGTAGTTCTTAGGGACTTTGCTCGGGGGGGGGGGGAGCAAAATTGCCGACTTGAGGGGCCAGTAAGAGGGCTGGGGGTGACATGTCCTCCAGTCTCCCGTAAACCTCCAACTATAAGCCCCGGGCTTATATACTTTTGTAAGGAATTTTTGATGGGCTTATACACGGGGGGGGGTGCTTATATTCGGCGGGGAGGGGGCTTATAGTCAGAGGTTTACGGTATATGTTAAAAGAGGCCCTGACACACCCACCTACCAGTGGTCAATGCCCTAGGCCTTTTCTTTTGCTTCCATGTGGGATTTCTTTTAAATCAAGCCATGCGTTTGTCTGTAGTCTTTGGTTTAAAATGTAACTTAGTTTGGCAAGTGCTTTTTTATTCTGCTCGATAATGGCAGATGTAGAGGACTTAGTTTCATCCAAAAAGAAATCTAAAACTACAACTAAGAAATCTAACACTAAAAAAAAGCAAACATGTGGTGTTCAGCAGTTAACTGTTCGAAGAGTAATAGTATCACACTATCACATATGTTGCTGGCTATCTGCTCCATACGTGTTCACAAAAACACAGCTGCTCAACCTGCAAAGAAGCCCAAGAGTCAAATGATCTGGATGACAATAAGACATTAGATTGTTATTGACCAAAACAAATCACAATTTGGAGGTCTGCATGTGTCTTCAGCTACTTTCCTGGAGTATGTCGTTCAACTTGAAGCAATCTTTTTCAAAAACTTCTCCATTTATACAAAGAGATTTTCTGTTGGAGGAGATATCCTCAAGTTACTCAAGAGAGAACCTGTGTCATTCCAGTACTGTGAAGAATTCCTGCTGGAATATGTCCAGAAGCTGTTCTTGAGAATGAGAATATATTACTCGTTGAAATTTGCCAACCGTGATTTTCGAACTAAGAAAAAAAAAGGGCAGAAAATATTTGAATGTGTCGCATCTTTAATCAACATGACTTCAGCCATTATAATTGTTTATATTTTTACTAAGTTTGACATTTATATTGACAATTTAGAACTTTAGAAGTGCCTATACAGTGGTTATTATAGCTACTGCCATAATTTGTTCAGGTAGCCTCTCAGAGGAGAGAACAAAAACCGATCAACTTTGTTTGGCACAGAACTGAGAGGATCATATTTAGTCATACTAAAAATATTATAAAGATGAACACAGAAAAAACAAGCTATAGACCAAAATATACCGCATACTGCTACTGCTGCTAACTAGCAGCCTTATAATATATAGTTATAGCAAGAGCCATAATACAAGAGCACAGTTTGTCATTTAAATAGTCCGGCCAGGAGGAGAAAGGGGGGTATCGTAACCCGAGCAGGGAATTTATGAGAATATGTGACTTTGGTCAATTTTGGGACGCTAATTTCAAAAATCGATGTTATACGGGCCAATACCGGGGCCTTCAGCCTCGTTTTGATGCATATAGCCTCGTTTTGGGGCATACATAGGGAACACGTTAGTTGTCTTAGTTAGCTAGGGAAACCAGTGATTTTGGTCAATTTCGGTGCGTTGATTTCAAAAATAGATGTTACACGAGCGAATACCAAGGCCTTCAGCCTCGTTTTGGTGTATGCAGCCTCGTTTTGGTGCAAATAGATGGAAATCATTAGTTAGCTTAGATAGGCAAAGTCGTTGGTGATCTTGGTCAATTTCGGTGCGCTGATTTAAAAAATCGACGTTACAGAGCAAAATACCGACGCCTTCAGCCTCGTTTTGGTGCGTACAGCCTCGTTTTGGTGCCTACATATGTGCCTTAGATAGCCAAGGAAGTTGGTGATTTTGCTCAATTTTGGTGCGCTAATTTCAAAAATCGAAGTTATATATATCTAGTGATTTCTGCTCTTTTTGATAAAAAGCAATACTGTTGCCCCATTAAATTGAGGTCATGTTATGCATTACATTAAACAACATGTACATTCTGATTACAAACCTTGCACTTTCCTTTTCAAAATTCACTCGTATCTTCAATTTCCACATCCAAATCATCCTCGTAGTCATCATCGGAGGACAAACTGTTCTAACTCTCCGTGCTGCGAGTAGCGCATCAATCTCCCCGGGATAGGAAATGTCACTCCAGGCAACGCTTCCATCTCCGTCCCATCCATGCTTGTCGGGGCTTTCGAGTTCTACTAGCAGCTGATCGGCGTGTCAAAAGATGTACGCGACATAGTTAGCTCTCATAATGTGATGATGAAGATTTGACTGGCATAGTGGCATTAGACAAAGGTCAATGATCTTTTTCTTGTTGAACTTGTTCCAAAATACTTTCTTCCTTGCCTCATTGACTGAGAAGATACGTGGATGCTCGTATATAGAACAGACGAACCATTCTAAACCCCGAAACAACTCCTCGCTTGCTGTCGCCTCCGTACCCAAGGATGAAAATAGATCGATAAAGGCAGTGTTCTTGGTCACGGCTTTCCACGCGGCCTGGTTTTGCTTTCGAAAAAGGCTAGATACATAATCGTCCAGAAAAGGCATGCGTTCCCAAAAGAGCTCATCTGCGACAAAGGGACAATCCAGTTGACGTCACGTCGATGATTTTCCTGTTCTTCCCGCTGCCATTGTCAATCAGAATCTGCTTGTCCGAAAAATAGTGACCAATGAACAAGCTAAGGTTATTATGTCTATATCACCAGATGGCGACCGTACCATTGCAGTTGAGCTAGGTGGCAATTGGCTAGCATGCACAATTGCAATGATTTTATTAGCAGAATTAACCAGCGACCGCGAGGAAGCGGACAAGAAACTCGTTGCATTTGTGCGTACTAGCCAATTGCCACCTAGCTCAACTGCAATGGTACGGTCGCCATCTGGTGATATAGACATAATAACCTTGTTCATTGGTCACTATTTTTGGGACACACAGATTCTGACAATGGCAGCGGGAAGAACAGGAAAATCATCGACGTGACGTCAACTGAATTGTCCCTTGGTTACAGAAAAGCTCTTCTGGGAATGCATGCCTTTTCCGGAAACGATTATGTATCTAGCTTTTTTCGAAGGAGAAAGCAGGCCGTGTGGAAAGCCGTGACCAAGAACACTGCCTTTATCGATCTATT